AAAAAAATTCTAAGTCAAATAACAAGTATGTTCCATTTTAAAATTAGTATTTTCCATTTTTAAATTATTATTTTCTATTACTAACTTTGTAAAAATTTATAGATATGTTCCAAAAAATTACTATTTTTCATTAATAAATTTTAATATGATGATGACTTAGTATGTGAGTATTTATGTGTAAGAAATTAATTATTAACTGGTGTTCCTAATCAAAATATTTATGGTATAATATTAACTATTATAAGTGTAATTAGTATTAATTTCTTGAAAATAAAAAAACATGCCTATTTTGACATTTATGTCAAAATAAAATAAATAAGTAATATTCAGGGTTGTCTTTGAGAAATGAGGGGCCGTGTATGACAGGTAGAAAATGGGTCATTGTGTTATAATAAAATAAAGTCTATTCATTAATTTATTTAACAATAATTAACATTATATTAATAAGAATAATATCTAGACCCTACTGTAGTAAGATTCAACTGGGTTGTTGTTGTATATTAATAAGAATAATGAAATATCGAATTCATATTCTTCAAAATCAAAGGAAACTTCATTGCTTTGATTTTGGTCCGGAAACTTCATTGCTTTGATTTTGGTCCGTAGGAGGCGATTGAGAAGTTTGAGAATTTTTTTTTACCGTAGATCTATTTTTTTACAGAGTAAATTTTAATCCTCCTTCCTAGGCAGTGTTCAGTGGGATTAGGTTCTATTTTGGTAGGTAGTAAACAAACATGTACATATGTATTGCTTTTGCAGTACATATGATGGTTATTACACATACAGAAAGAGAGAGGTCGTCATCGACTATAACCTTGCATCATCGAACACGTTCGAGAAAGAATGTACTCTATGATGTGACAAATGGTATTTTTATTATTCTGAATTGAATATTTAATTTTTCCAGTAATGTTTTCCCAAAAAAATCTATACAGTGCTCCAATCCGGGAATAATTACACAATTCATCATGCTTTTAAGTGCATAAGAAACATATGGATCTATCTTCTATAACACATGTTTTAATTTCTTTGAAGATGATAATAAAACAATTTTCTTCGTGTATTAACTAACTCTATGTATAAGATATTATAAACAATGTAAGAAAGTATTACGTAAATAAATATGGTATATGCACTCGAGGTTGAATTTTCATCTCCATGGCTAAAATTTGTAAACTTTAGAGATAAAAAAAGCTAAAAGATATTGTCAAAGAAAATGTTGACAAAGCTTCAATGTTTGAAGCTTGGATGATTTCCAATACACAATATAATGTGGGATAAAATTTGATGTATGTAAAGAATTTCCCAATTTTTGTGTGTACAATCATAAATTAAAGTGCGGAAATGGTTCCGATGTAACAAAGGTCATCAATAGGCAGACTACAATACGTGCTTACGAAAACCAGAGAGTTGTACTATTAACTGTCCAGCGAGGATGTACAAGCTATTAGAGCTTGATGAGAGTTAACAATGTTCTACATAGCGTATTTGAGGTAGCATGTGAAGCATTGAGGTTATTAACCGATGATAAAGAACTTATTGAAGGTATAAAAGAGATTGCTAAGTTAGGATTTAGGAATATGCTAAAATGTTGTTTGTCCACGTACCATGAGTCACCCATAAATTGTTTTGAAAAAATTATAGGAACTCTTGGTGAATGGAATTTTATTTGATCGAATAAGAATATTTTGGAATCAAGGTACTTGAATATAAAGATAGTTTTTTAATGTATTAATCCATCTGAAACGCATTATATGAAAAAAAAACTCTTTAATTGAGCACTGCATAGAAACAAATAATTCTTTTTTTGCAGAGCTTATAATCTCGTGAGAAGACCTAAAGAATTTATGTCTAATTGAGATTGAAAAGTTGCTTAATTGAAATGGACAACCTTTAAAGGAATTCAAGTGCATGCCATTTGGAGATGACAATCAACTTAATAGATATCAAAATAGTTTTTTGATAGAGAAGTTGAACTATGACTAAGAAAAGTTGTCATTTAATCTTAGAGGATATTTATCTACGATGAATGAAGATCAGTCGATATCTAATGAAATAATGGAAGTCGTGATAGCTGAAAGAGGGAGTTCTTTTATGTCCATGGTTACGGTGGAACTGGAAAAATATTTCTCTAGAAGTCATTGTCTGCTTCTCTAAGGTCAAATGGTAAGGTTGTCCTGAATGTCGCATCCAACTACATTGTAGCATTGCTTTTGCCTAGGGGGAGGAGAGTCGAGATTTTTTATCCCTTTGGTGCTAACCGAGTGCTCATTTTGTGACAATAAACAATGGAGTCCGAAAGCAGACCTAATCCAACAAGTAAGTATAATCATATGAGATTTATCATCTACGATGCATATATTTTGTTTTGAGACATTGGATTACACAATGAGAGATGTAATGAGGTTCTCTAATAATAAATTCATAAATGAACCATTCACAGGGAAAACATTTGTACTCAAAGAAGATTTATCCAAATTCTTTCAGTTTTACTCATAGCTTTGAGAGAGGAAATTGTAGGTGTTACCATCAAATCCTTAGAAATGTAGTTGTATTGTAAATTTTATACATTGATCAAAAATATGAGATTGCATTAATCTACACTCTCTTACACAGACAAGGACACATAAGCTTTTTCTGATTGGATATCAAAGTCAAAGATGGAAAACTTAGACAAGTGATCGATGGAACTGCTGACATTGAAATTAAATCCTTCTGCATTCTTGATTCTTGAAATAAGTTATCCACTCAAGAGTTATAGTGGACTTCACTTATCCGAACCTATTAGAGAACATGAATTTTTTTAGGATAGTGCACTATTAGTACCTGCACTCAAGTTTGTTGAATGGTAATAAATTTTTCATATCCCTTATGCAAAGCTGATTTAAAAGTAGTTGTTGAAGACAATTGGATAACACTTTAGTTTTTTTAATTAAATCAAATATTTGGGGATCCTAAACCACAAAATAGTTTTTAAAAAGGGGGTACTGACTATATCATTGAAGAACATTGACTAAATATCTGGATTGTGTAATGATAGAAGATTAATCGTTTAGAAGTTGAGAAAGAACATTATCACTGCAATTGAGGTTTCATGAATTCAATTGAGAAAAAGATTTTCATACCCCGAATGAATTTGGTATCATCTGATTCAAGACTACCTAAGAAATTCTAGAGAAAATAATTCTCAATAGTTTTATATTTTACTATGACTATTAACAAAAGTTAAGGTCAAACATTGTCTTTTGTTGTATTTTTTTTTACCAATTTAGTATTTAGTCATGGTTAGCTATATGTTACTTTTTCACGAATGAAGGCAAAGACATGATTAAAAATATTGGTTCTAGATAACAATGGAAACATTTACAACCATACCAAAAACGTTGTGCACCCTAAAGTCTTTCAAAAAATTGGAATTAAATAAGGTTTTTTCGAGTACACTTTCATTTCCTCAAATATGATTTATTCTAATGTTGTCGTTGTGCATTGATTAAAAATTGTGTTAGAAATATATTTACTTGATTCCGGAGAATATATTACACTGAAAAAAATCAAAATCGACAAAAATTTTGTTTAACCCCGTGCGTCGCACGGGTCAAAATACTAGTAATAGTTAAAAAAGGTAATGAAAAGAAATACCACTACAATATTTTTTCAGTCCAATTTTCTGTCCTTTTTGATAAATCTTTCCATTTCCACTGGGAATAGAGCAACAGTCCGATGGCGGGAGAGATCGAAGAGACCAGTAATGCCACCGACTACGGCGGCAGCGGCGACGGCGAGTCAGTTCAGCTGTTATCGAACAATGTTTCGAAGGTGCCGGAGGTGGAAATTAGCCTTTACCGGCGAGGAAAAGGTCCAATCGCCGTATTCAAGTCGAGCCTTGGAGGCTGGGGTCAGGATCAGCTCGAGGTCCGCGATATCCTTGACAAGTACGGATTCAAATCCATCCATGCCTTCAACCCTGATTCGGGTCGGGGCTTGCCCATTCCGTTCAACCCTAAAAACGGCCGATCCATCCTCACATACAGCCATGGATCCTCCATTAATGTCGACGGAGAGCCCCGGGTAATATACATACTCACATATGCATGCATTTGTTTGCTTATAAAATAGGGAGCACTAATTTTATTTTCTATTTGATCAAATTAAATTAATTTTCATTTCATTTAATGGTTTTAGTTGACAGCATCCCAAACAAGTTTAAAGTTATAGGTTTTGTCAACCCAACAAGTAAATTTGAAGATTTAGCTATATTTGATGATCTCTAATCATTTTATTTTACCTTACTGAAGATAAAAAATACATTCGGAAAACATGACTCTTTAAGAGTAACTACAGTCAAACTGATAGAGTGACATGCACATGCATTTGTATGTGAGAACATAAAAATAGAAGTTATATAGATGGCTTTGTGTTTTCTTCATTATTAATTCTTCATCTGTACTACCTAATACTCCATTCTATTTGCACTACGTTGTATGTTTCTGCCCCTAAAACTTGAATGCAAGCATTAGTTTGGAAGTTATAGGTAATTGTAGAGGGCAATGTTGATGTCTTCAAGTACGACAATCAAGATAAGGAATCAAGAATTTTGGTGCATTGGTAGGCTAGATTGTGTTCATTCAAGGATTCCCATTCATAGCAATCCAACAAAGACCATCATTTGGAATGTGTTCAGTTAAAGGAGATTGGGGGAAAGGCAGGGGAGAAAAAATGCTCTCCCGCCCTCATTTTGTTCTGAAAATTTGGAGGTGGGGAAGCCAAGATTTATCCATCCACTCTACTTTTGGTTCCCTTCAACTTGGGGTTTTATAGGGTTGTTTGAAATAAAGAATATAGATCTATATTACCTTTGTGTCTAAAAAAACACACACTTGTTGTACCTCGTGAGGTTGTGCATCCTCGGTTTAGCTGACAAACATTTCAAGAGTATAATGATAAATTACTTATTATTTTGCCTCCCCCCTGAATTGAACACACACTTAGGCTAATGGACCCCATTGTGTTTGCACAATTACGCCATCACAGACAGCATCTTTAGGATCTGGACCAACCACATGGTTTGAAGCTATTAAAATGAAGTTTGATGTGAGTGATGATCAGAGAATACAACAAGAGGAGTGTTAATTTTAGATTGAAAATGTTGAAATTTTATCCAAATCCTATGATTTGGATTTGGACCGCTTTAGTACGACGCTACCATTACCTCCATACACAACTTGAATGGCTTGAGTTGAGTCAATGACATGCTCCTTTCTTAATGCAATGGGTGTAAACGTAATCTTTGAAGCCTCAATGAACTGCATCTCATATTAGATATATCATAGATGGAACTTTTCTTGATTATTGGATTTAACAAATCCCAACAAGAGCTCCAAGCTTTGAAATAATCAACAACGAAATATACCAAAAGACTCATGGAACTTTAACTAAAATGTCTTGATGCCTCCACATTGCAACAATGCAACTTGCTTTGTGCTCCACACATATCATGCCACGTTCCACGAGGGCTTTGGAGTGAAACATACTTCTACAAGAGTATTATTGGCTACCATCCATATAGATTTATACAATCACATAAATATATGCATTGTTTATGCATCAGTATTCAGGCATATAACAACCTTTCACCCTGATATTGACATCACTATCATTTACCCAAGTGGGTTTAGACTTGCTCTCTATCCCAAGAACATCAACTTATAGGAAATAGATCATATTCACAATTGACTATTTTACAAAGTGGGTCGTGCCTCCATTCGTTGTTACATAACTGCAATGCGAAAGGTCCAACTACAACATCCCAGTATAATCCCAATTCCGTTGGGGTATAAGGTCAAATTTTATGCAGTTTTACTGCGGCAACAAAGAGATGTTATTTTTGTTAGACCGACCCTTAATGCATTGCTGCATTTACTTCTAGAAACTTCATAGAATGTAAGAAGCATGAGAAGTTTAATGGATTGTTTTTGTTTAGTCCATTATTTTCCTAAAGTGTAAAGTCATTATCAATATAGACTACTTTAGATCCATTGCCAATGGAGGGATAATAGTGAAGGTTTGTATGAAAAAAATGTCATGTCTATTTAGGGTCCCCGATCAAACCAATTCTCGTCGTGGACCTGCTAGATATTTACACATTTCCCAAATGATGCAAAAAGTGGGGAGAGATGGGGAGATATAGCACTCTCAATAAGTACAGCCTACCCTCAAATCTGCAAGCAAGTCAAGAACGTGAATCAGTCAATTATCTACCCACAGATTTTGGTAGATCTATTCCTGAACACACCCTTCAGATACTGAAAGGCTCTCAGGAAAGCCATGCAGGAAACACTACTTGCTTTATCCTGTGGGATTGAGCCATTAGTTCCCATCAAAGTCAGACCTAAACCAGCCCGCTAGAAGAGAAAGGTGATATGGTAGCCAGAGGGTAAAATATTTCTAACAATCTATTAAGAAGTATCACAGCTCTTGGAACTAGGGGATATAATCTTCCAAAAAGCGAGAAGAGTAGGTCCACATAGACATGGATGTTTGCTAAGAACTGGGAAGGGTCGAAGGGATAAAGTCACCACGAGCTAAATTCCAAATTTGCAAACTGCAAAAAGAGAAGACCAAATGCCTCAAAAAATTCTACAAGAGTGAGTGTCAAGGAAGAGGCTTGAACCTTCACTATGTACTTAGCAAATCATCAATCAAAGAATTTGTTTCCAATTCATGACTCCTAAATACATTGTACAAAGCAAAATTGAAGGTTCATATGGAATAACATCTTATGTCAGCTCGAGATTTCAAACCAAATAATATATGACAATAATTGATACTTTTATTAGCTCATTTCCTGAATGGTTAAAAAATGGGGGATAAGGGACTGTCAAACACTAGTAGCTCACCCTCAAACCTACAAGCAATTCAAGAATATAAATCAAACAACTATTGATAACCTTAAGAAGAAAATAGAGGGTGCCAAACAGAATTCACCTGGACAAGGTATACCCCTTTAGAAGTGAAGGCTAGAAGCCAATGTTGAAGTATGATCAAAAGGCCTATGAACTCTATGAACTCTTGTGGTACAAGGCACTAAAGAGCATCACTCTTGTTTAAACCGTGAGGACGCAATATCGGATCACAAGCCATTAGTCAAGGAAACTGCTTAGAATTAAAGTACTTCTAAAAAAAGAAAGGCGATTGGGTAAAAGCAATAATGGCAAGCTCAATCCTGTAGAGATTTACCAAAAAAAAGGCGGAAGGGAAAAATCTAAAAGTATTAGCCCTATGCCTTACAAGGAACTGCATTCGAGAAATCAGATCTCGATGTTCTGATGTTAAACTGCAAGGTGCAGGGGTAGGGAAAAGAGATGCTTCCAAAAGACTACTAAAATGGCAAGGCTGATGTCTTTCAAAGGCTTCAAAGAAGAAGCAAGTCTGAAGAGAAAAATTTGAATACCACCTTGATGCCTCACAAAGAAATGAAAGATCTCTAATAAAGAGGCACAAATGATCATAGGTGTTGGACAACAAGTTCCCATAGTTTTCACGGTGTCGCCTAGGCGTCATAGCGCCCTTCTACTCTCGCCACGGGAGCTCGCTTTGCCTTATTTTGCATACCTCTCCTAGGCGTCGCCTTGGCCTCACCTTGGCTCGCCTAGTCCAGTGCTTTATTTATTTTTAATTTTTTTACTCCAATGCTTTATTCTTGTAAGTGTTTTATACCCCCGATTCCAGTGCTTTATTTTTTAATGCTTTATAAATTGGTTTATTTTCAATTTAATGCTTTTTTTCTACTTTATCTTCCTAATTGACACTCAGTGCTTAATTTTTTAAATGTTAAATAATTAATTTATTTCCAATTTAACGTGGTAATGTTTTTTTCAACTTTGAGATTTTTTTAGTAAAGTACCTAAAAGTAACTTTGGTTGTTAAACTTTGCTTTTTTAGAAAAATTAAACTTTATCAACTACAATATATAATGTGATATATTTATATTAGTGTTTTTAATGTATAGCAATTCTCCTATATTATGTGTCGCCTAGTTGACTACGCCCAACGCTGCACCTCGACTTGGCGCCGTGACAACAATTTGAGTTTCTGTGTTCTTGATTCAAAACTGTGAATCCATTGGTCATCACTAAAAGTAATACTCCGTAATTAACAAACAAACCAAAGGTTTTCTATTATCATGTTCCGAGCACCCACTTCCACATTTTTTAGTTTGTTTAAGTTAGAGTATATAGCTTGAACTTGGTTAGCCCATGATTGCTCTTACTGGTTGCCACCCCTATCCAGGCACAATTTAATGGTTCAAAGTCCAAAGTGTGATCCTTCTACATTGAATAGATTGGACTTGGCAAGGTGACCTGACATTGAGCAAAGCTAGTTGTAGCAAACTCAAGAGCATTGTTAAGGGATGCACTCTTTGGTTGGACAAAATATAGGAGGGGGCAGAGTACAAGTAAAAAGAAGTAGTAACATGCAGACCTCAAACCCATTCCTAATCCATTTATGGGCTTGTTCTTTTCAACTTGATGTTCCCATTATCTAGTCTCGAGACTCTAGACTCCAAGTTACCAAACTCCATTATCCAAGTTTTAGTTAAAATTACTACTACATCAAGACTCCAAGCTCCAGACTCCCGTTAAAAATAAGGTGAAAAGAACATGCCTTATATATCTACACTCTCAATCCAATCATCATCAAGAGTTGCAACCAATTAAAAATAACAATATCTATTAGAATTGTTAAGGAGAATAATTTTACATACACATGGGATCTCAATCCCTACTTAAAGGGATACAAAAGTTTAATCAATTAACTCAAGTTGGTGCTACCGTGCTTGCTCACATACCGTGAGCAGGGTATCTTCTTTTTAATCCACACACTCTTATTGGATAAGGTCTTGTAATGTCATGAAGACTTTTTCACAACTAAGCCACTTCCCCAACCAAGAAGGTATACCTGGCCACCTTTGACATGACATGAGTATTGTGATTGTGGAAGATCGGCGATTTTGAGAAGCCCAATTTTGTCGCTTTGAATTTTGTCGGAAATTGGAATCGGTTCGTCGC